AAAATTATATATTTATTATACATTTCTGTGAGGCATGTGACGACAGAAATATATGGAAAAGAATTATCAAAATGTTTGTGTACTACAGCAAATTTCAAGTGAGCATTTATTTAATCATTCATTCAACATTCACTTATTCACACAGCAATATTTATGAAGCACTTAATATGTGCTAGACATTGTGAAAGGTGCTGGAGAAACAAAACAATCTATTAATTTAATCCGATAATTTAATCTACTAAATTAACAGTACTTTTTAAAAATCACATAACCAGTGTTGGTGAATTTAAGGAGGCAATCTCTTTTATACTCCTGTTGAGAGTATAGATTGCTAAAACATTTCTGGACAATTTAGCACTTTTTATCAAAAGACTTAAAAACATCCATTTCATCTGACAGTGCAATTCCATTTTTAGGAATTTATTCTAAATAAAGAATGGATGTACACAAAAAAAGATATATAAAACCATTCATAAATGAGTTGTTTGGAGGGACCTAAATATTAAACAATAGAGATCTGGGTAAATACCATTATGTTCACAACACAGAACACTAGGGAGTCGTGTTTGACCTACAAAGTGTTTAACATGAAAAAATGTTCAAAATATATACGTGAAAAAATTTAAAAGTGTGATACGAAGTTGCTGTGAACTTGAGCAAATCACTTAAAGTGATGAGTCTGTTACTTCACCTGCAAAACTCAGGTCCTCAACGCTTACCTTACCTGAGGCTAAGAACTCATCCTTTCTCCTTTATAAAGAAAATTAGTAGTCGGTAGATGTCAGGTTGGCAGCTGTTTACAGAGCTGTCAAAGTATTTCACTTGAGGATTTACTGAAAGGTGCTCTCCAAAGACAAAATACGTTAAGTCGGAAGAAAATGTCCATTTTTTTCTGAGGTATCATGCTTGATTTTAAGAGCACAGAAAGACATTAGTACCCTCAAGAGGAAACTAATGATAATAAAAATAAGTAGTGAATGACAACGAGCCTTGAAAAATGAGACCTCCAGGGAGTAAAGAAGAAAAGCATGTACACAAGATACTCGAGGAAGGTACGGTTGACACACACAAACCGACCATTTTTTCGTGGCCTTTCCTGCAGCCTCATTCTTCTCAGTCACACAACACCCCATATCTCTGTGGACGGTGAATGACAGGTTGAGCGGCAAGTTGTCTCAAGCGATTTCAGGTGCATCCGGCAGCGGCGGTGAGAAACTGGCGGGAATCTGCAGTACACACAGAATTTGGCTGAGGATCCAAGAAGAGAGACGTGTTAGTGGCGGCGCCGCAGCTCGGAGCCCCAGCAGGCACTCCTGGCCCAGGGTTTCCCGCCAATCTCAATTCCTCAATCCTCGGAGGCCCCGCCCACCCCCGAGCGGGCGGGGAAGCTTTGGACGCCTATCGATAGCTCTGGGATACACTACCCTGCCTTGCGCCGCTGCCGTCCGAATCCTCCCACAGACTTCTCTGCAGATCGTCGAGTGGTAGTTTCGGCAGTGCTCCTTGATTCGCCTGTTTGCAGGAGGCCACAGCCAGGCCGGCGCTGAAGTCATGGTGCGTTGTATCCCAATCCCTGGAAGGTTTAGGGCAGAGGTCCGGTCACTGGAGGATGATGAGCCCCGTCTCTTGTCATCCTTAGAGGGGTCTGGGGCCACGGGGCATGAGCGCCTCAGCTCACGGGAGGGCTCCGGCAGTGATTCAGCATCTCCGGCCTGGCCAGGCGAGGGGCGGTCGGTAATAGGTGCGGCCTTTGCCCCGCGGTTTATTTCGCTTTCCGCGGGGCTTCGGACACTTCCTCTGTCAACTAGCCGAGTCCCTTCCACCCTGTACCCACGCCCAAGTTCCTTCAGTGGAGTAGATTGCGAGCGGTCCACAGCAGCCCCTCGTGCTCTGCATGAGACAGAAGATAGGAACTTGACTTGGGGGCCTCTCTGTACTGCCAGTGCGGACTTGACCCCACGGTTTGTGTTTCTGGACCGCCTCCTTTTTCCTGGTGGGGCCGTCTGATTGCCTCTCCCTTAGAACTCGATCAGAAAAGGCCCTTTTCAATCACTTTGTGATGAGTAAACCGAGGCTGAGAGGGGAAGTGATGGAATCAGGGTTAAAATATGGGGCTCTGGGCTTCCAACCCATGTCTCCCATTCCAGCACTCAACCTTCTCACCCCTATGATTATTCTCCCAAGTTCTGACAGACTTCTTTTAATACTGTCATTATGTCAATAATGGTTCTCTCGCTGTAGCTGTATGTGTCCGCCTCTAACTTCCTGAGGATATTTTTGTGTTCATTCATTATGAGTATTTATACGTACAAAGCACTTTAGCAAAGGTTCAAAAATAAATCAGACGTGTCTCTAATTGTAATATTAGAGGCAGTATGTGTTGGACATTTGGGGAGAAAAGATGAAGACATCAAGAGATAGATATTTGAGCTAATTTAGAAAAAAAGAAGGCTTTTGACCATTATTAGGGCCCAGTATAAGGGAACAACATAAAGTTAGGAAGGAAAGTTGATGCGTATGAACTTTAGCAACTGACGGAACCCAAAGGGAGTACTGTGGAGAGTGGCAGAATAGGAAATTGGGAAAATAGGACCTGTCTAGATCTGTGTCTCCCTCCATCACTAGCTATTGGTAAATGTGGAATTGGCTTACAACTGAGTACGATAGTAATCTTCCAATGAGGTTACATTAACAGAATTGTGTAAATGTTGAGTGGAAACACATGCAAGCATGTTTCTTAATAAATGTTAGGAGCTTGGATTTGTAACGTTCCTGTATTAATAGATCTTTTTTCTTTTACTTTCAGTTTCGCAACCAGTATGACAATGATGTCACTGTTTGGAGCCCTCAGGTAAGATAATGTTTTATACCATTTCTATGAAGTGGCTTCTTGTGGCTGCAATATGTTTAGAAACTCTTTAGGTTACAGGCCATGAGAAAATGGAATATAATCATTTTATACATTCCTGGAACTTAGATTTATAATTAAAATAAGTTTCCTGGTTTTAAAAAAAAATCATTTAAGATTTAACTATGCTCAGTTGAGGTTTGGGAACTCTAATTTTTAATTTAATTAAAAAATTTAATTAAAATAAAAGCCTAAGATGGCTCGGGATATGTTGTTTTTTCTCTTTAGGGCAGGATTCATCAAATTGAATATGCAATGGAAGCTGTTAAACAAGGTTCAGCCACAGTTGGTCTGAAATCAAAAACCCATGCAGTGTTGGTTGCATTGAAGGTGAGTAAAGCAATAAATATATTTTCCTCCTTTAGAAAACAGAACTACCAAATGTAAATTTCACAGTGTAGACAATAAAGTTGTGAACTTATTTTTATGTTTTATAATGTCTCTATATAGAGGGCACAGTCAGAGCTTGCAGCTCATCAGAAAAAAATTCTCCATGTTGACAACCATATTGGTATCTCAATTGCAGGACTTACTGCTGATGCTAGACTGTTATGGTGAGTATGATTATGTAAAATAAAGGAAATACCCTTTTTGATTCATAATTGATTATTTTACCTTTCTAGAAAAGATGCAGATAAGATATTTTAGGAAATTATCTGCCAGAATACATATAATTGAAGTTCGTGAATACCTTAGTGGGTTTGAGTTAGTTACTAAGTATTCCAAAAAAATGATTCCTGTAGTAGTAATTAATAGAATTAAACATACTAGTATTAACACTTTAAGAAGTCACTGATACTTGTTAACTCAGTGTATATTGTTTGAGACCCTGTTATATCTAAAAAGAGCTTGACACTTATGTCTGGTTTCTAAGAATGAACCGAATTAGCCTTGCTTTCTTTAATACATCAGTATTTATTAGACATTTATTTTTGGCAAAGCTTAATAGTGGATACTGTGAGGTATACAAAGGTGACTCAGAAATGGATCTTGTCTTCAAGGAACTTAAAATCCAGTTTATCTATAACACAAGGTAGAAAGTGAAGAGTAACATGTAAATTTCTGTGAGAGTCCAGAAGAGAGAAAGATTATTTCTGGTTGAGAGACAATATGTAAATGAAGAAGTGGGGCTTTGATATCACACAGATTGAGTTCTCACCTTCACCACTTAGTATCTGAGATTGGGCTAATTACAAAACTCTTGATTTTTTACCATATTTACTTTTTCAAGGTTATTGTTAAATAGACTAACCTGTAGAGCACTTAACACAGTGCCTTTCAGGTAGTGTGTGTGTGTGTGTGTGTGTGTTTTGGGGGTGGGCCAAAACTAATATCTTAAGTTTGTGATTTGATTAGGGAAGAAAGAATATAAACAGTCAGGGTAAATAGTAATGCCATTGTTTAAGATTTTCAGGGTATCTAGCCAGTCCCTTGATCATTTAAGTCAGCACTGTAGTGATAGCATTATGGGTTTGTGTTTGCTCTTAAAAATGTTAAATATGTTATATTGTGAAACATTTTATTTAACCCAATCTGTCTAAAATAGTACCATGCCAACATAATCAGTATAAGACTTTATTAATGAGATATTGTACCTTTTTTTGGTATTAAGTCTTTGAACTTTGGTGTGTATTTCACTGTTACAGTACATCTCAATTCAGTCTGGCTACTTTTCAAGTGTTCAGTAGCAACATGTGATCAGTGCATGCCATCCTGTGCAGTGCAGTTTTAGACAGCTGTGGAAAATGGATTTAAATAAAAGTACTGAACAAATAGTTTGGTTCCTGCAGTAAACATTTGATCATCAGATGTGATATACACATACACTGGATGAAGCAATGTGGAAAGAAAGGAGAACCACCCCGTGAAATAAGAAATGAATTCCCTTTTACCTAATGTTAACCTTGCTTGAATCTTGTCAGGTTTAACAGTAACACTCAGCAGTCTAGTGTTTAGTATTTCCTCTAGGCTCCTGCTTATAAATAGAAGTAACATTGGCAGGAACATGTAAAGATGTCCTCTGCTGTGGATTGTTTCTTGCAATTGCTCTGTTGGGGAAACTTTAGTCTGCTTTCAAGAAAAAAAGTAAAGTAGGTACTCTTTTTGCTGGTTCAAGACCTAGAATTAAGATAAACTGTTTCTGAAAGTGGGAAGGATGAGAGAAGAGAAATTGTTCTTTTTCCCTTGCTCAGCTTTTTTTCATATTCTGTAAGTGCTCTGAGACAAAGATTTTCTACAGCTAAGGACTGCTTTTGTCTTTTTTAAAAAAAACCCCATGGGGCTCCAAGTTTGGCACAAAAATGCGTCCTGTGGCCATGACTTTCTTACCTTTCCGGTTTTCTTATATGGATGTAATTCATGTAAATGTTTGGAAGAAAGCAAAGTGAAATCAAATGACTTTATTTAGTTTGGAATATCTCTCTGTGATTTGAAATTACTAATTTTTCTTGTTTCTTTTTTTAGTAATTTTATGCGCCAGGAGTGTTTGGATTCCAGATTTGTATTTGACAGACCACTTCCTGTGTCTCGTCTTGTATCTCTAATTGGAAGCAGTATCCTTTTTGTGTTAGCATTTATGGATGTGAACTTTAAAGGGTTTTGATACTTAATCTTTGTGTTAGTTATTAGGAATATGATAATACATAACATAGGTAACATTGTGAAAACTTTAAAATAAGGAATTGGGTTGCTCTTTTATGAGCTCTTATAATCAATTGATATTTTCCAGACTTAGGTAAGCCTAATATCAGGAAAACTATTCGAGCATCATTTTTAGAGGGGATTTAAGGTTTCTTATTGGTTCTAGATGTCCCAAAAAGTCCTAGACCCCTTATATTCAAAATAAATGAGGTTTGGGCCGGCCCGGTGGCGCACTGGATAGTGCGCCGCTTGGGAAGCGTGGCGGCGCTCCCGCCCGAGGGTTCGGATCCCACATACAGACCGGTTCCCGCTCACTGGCTGAGCGAGGCGCGGGAGCAGCACCGAGGTTTGCAATCCCATTGCCGGTCCCCGGTCCGGTATGGGGGCGACACTGAGGGTTGCGATCCGTTGCCGGACACGGGAAAAAGACAAAAGACAAAAAAAATAAATAAATAAAAATAAATGAGGTTCTACATGGAAAGAGATCATTTTGCTAGCACTCATTCTGGGGTTTTGTGGAAAGTCAAACATTTTGTAATATTAGGCCAAAGAAATTCACTTTTTATTTTCTTCTTTCTGTGGTGGATTATGCAACAATTCAGGAAGAAGACAGTGGTCTTTGTTAATAATGTTTAATTTGAAAATAAATATAACACTTTATTCGTTGGTAGAACAAGCTCTTTAACTAGTTTAAGAGACCCAGATACCAACACAGCGATATGGCCGGCGACCGTATGGTGTCGGGCTGCTTATTGCTGGCTATGATGTAAGTTAAAAGTGTATTGTTATATTTTAATGATTTGTAAAAACTAACTAGAAATTTTTGTAGTTTTTAACTCAGCCGAAGTCAAGAATTATGTGGTGTTTTTTTTTTTTTAATAGGATATGGGCCCTCACATTTTCCAAACCTGTCCATCTGCTAACTATTTTGACTGCAGAGCTATGTCTATTGGAGCCCGTTCTCAGTCAGCTCGTACTTACTTGGAGAGACATATGGCTGAGTTTATGGATTGTAAGTGATAGCCTTTTTTTTCTTTTTTGCCTTTTCTAGTCTTTATATAGTGAATAAACATAGTATCCTACATGAAGAAAACTATCAGCCTTTATTGGAAGGAGGATTTGTATGTTTTTTTTGTTTGTTTTTAAATTAAGCCAATGAAATGTTTATTGTTTCTGTCACACATACTAGTTTTTATCCCTTTTGTTACCACAGTAGTTTCAATCACCAGTAGAACTTTTTCAAAATATAAAAGTGTATCCCAATCTTAAAAATACTTGATTCATTTGATCTGAAGTATGACGCAGCCAGAGTTGAGAACCATTGACACTGCCAATTCTAAGTTCTGTTTACAACTCTTAGTTTCCTGAAATTCTGTTCTTATTTTAAGCCACATAGACATTTCTGCATTAAGTAGTTCATAAACAAGTAAAAAGGCAATGTAGCTGTGGGAAAGAAAGGTAAAAGATATAAGATGTGATGAGAGGGCAGGTTTCCAGTGCTTTGCTTCACATTGGAAGGAAGATTAGTATCAGGGTTTTAACATTTTGCTTTGTTGCTTATCTATTTTCTTGTGACATTATAGCAGTCTGTGGAGGAAATATTTGGACTGAGTGAATGCAGAGAAAACTAATTGTCTTATTAATATTACTGAAAGCAAATTATGTTGTAGAATGATAGTAGGTTTAACTTTGGGAAAAGGGGATTCAATGGCCAGATAAGCTTAGGAAATGCTGGATTAAAGTTTAACATTTTAAATTATGATAATTGGGCTGGTGGTCCCCAAGATCACCTCTACATTCAGAGATTTGCTAGGATTCATAGGACTCAGCCTATAACTTATAGCAATATAGTAAAGATATGTAGAAAGACAGAGTCCAGAGGAATCCCTCCCATAAGGGGTCACAGAGCACACTTGCAGCAACATGAATATGATATTTCTGCCTAGAGAAACTCCTCAGAAACTCAGGGTTCTGGAAATTAATAAGGATCACATTGAATCCATAGATCATTTGGGGGAGTATTGTTACTTTAATAATTCATGTCTTCTGATCCATTAACATGGGATGTTTTTCACTTATTTAGGTCTTCTTTAATTTCTTTCAACAATGTTTTGTAGTTTTCAATATACAAGTCTTTTATTCTGTTAAATTTATTCCTAAGTATTTTATTCTTTTTGGTGCTGTTGGGAACAGAATAATTTTCTTAATTTCATATGTGGATTATTCATTGCAATTGTGTATAGAAATACAATGGATTTTTGTATACTGATCTTGTATCCTGAAATCTTGCCAAACTCATTTATTAGTTTGAGTAGTTTTTTAGATCTAAGATCATGTGTTCTGGGAATAGAGATAGTTTTACTTCTTCCTTTCCAATCTGGATGCCTTTTACTTCTTTTTCTTACCTCATTGCCCTGGGCAGAACCTCTGGTACAGTGATAAATGGAAGTGGTAAGAGCAGGCATCCTTTATGTTCCTGATCTTAAGAGCAAAGCTTTTAGTCATTCACTATTAAGTATGATGTTAGCTATGAGTTTTTTGTAGATGCCCTTTATCAGATTGAGGAGGTTCCCTTCGATTAATTAATAGTTTGAGTATTTTTGTCATGTAAGGTTTTAGGTTTTATCACACGCTTTTTATACATCTATTGAGGTGATTATGTGGATTTTTTTCCCTTCATTCTATTAATGTGGCATGTTATGTTAATTGACTTTTAGATGTTAAACCAATTTTGCATTTCTGGGATAAATTCCCCTTGGTCATTGTATTAGTCAGTTTTCTGTCTTGATGACAGAATACCTGAAACTGGTAATTTATAAAGAAATGAAATTTATTTCTTAAAGTTTTGAAGGCTGAGAAGTCCAAGATCCTGGGGGCACATCTAGTGAGGGCCTTCTTCTTGGTGGGAACTCTCTACAGAGTCCCATGGGGATGCAGGGTATCACATTGTGGGAATGGCAAGAACGACAGAGGGCGCTTGTTAATGTGCTCACTTGCTCTCCTTATAAAGCCACCAGTCCACACCAATGATAACTCATTAAACCATTAACCCATTTGTATTAGTCCATTTTGTGTTGCTATAACAGAATACCTGAGACTGGGTAATTTATAAGGAACAGAGGTTTATTTGGCTTATAATTCTGGGACAGCTTTATCTGGCATGGGCCTCAGGGTGCTTCCACTCATGGTGGAAATCAGCAGGCAGCTGGTGGGTACAAACAGATCAGATGGCAAGAGGAAGCAAGAGAGACAAAGAGAAGGTTACAGAGTCTTTTAAACAACCAGCTCTCACGGGAACTAATAGAGCAAGAACTCACTAGTGCCCCCCCCTCCCAGGGAGAGCATTAATCCATTCATGAGGTATCTACCCCCATAACTCAAATATCTTCCAGCACTGCCACATTGGGAATCAAATTTCCACATGTATTCTGGGAGGACAATATATTGAAACTCTATCACCATTACTCCATTTAATGAGTTAATCCATTCATAAGAGCATAGTTCTCATGATCCAATCACCTTGTAAAGGCCCCACCTTTCAATACTGCCACACTGGGTATCAGTCTTCCACACGAGCCTCTCAGGGGACACATGTTCAACCCGTATCAGTTATACAGTCCTTTTTATATGTATGTGTATGTTGCTGGATTCAGTTTGTAGTATTGTAGAATTTCGTTCAGGCTTTTTGTGTCTATTCATAAGGGATATTGGTCTGTAGTTTTCTCTTTTTGTGATATCTTTGGTTTTGATATCAGGGTAATACTGGCCACGAAGAATGAATTGGACACTCCTTTTATAAAGAGCGTACACAGGGACTGGCATTCCATATAACACCTTCTACAAAACTTTGAATTGTATCATTTGTGAATCAGTCTTTTTTTATTTTAAACTAGGAAAGGAAAAGGTCAAATTTAGTGACAAAATCATGTGTCCTCATTTAATAAAATAATAGTCAGCAATATTATTGATATTAAATTATATGACTAGCATTAAACTTTTGACTGTTTTTACTGTGATAAGTTTAGTGTGTATCTAAGACCATGATTTCAGACTGTAGACATGATAAATAAAAAGAGCCTAGCATGAAAATGAAATTAAGAAATAATTGTTAATTTATTACATATAGGTAATTTGAATGAACTGGTTAAGCATGGTCTGCGTGCCTTAAGGGAGACACTTCCTGCAGAGCAAGACCTAACTACAAAGGTAAATATCATATTTTCCAATTGTAAATATCAACATTACAGTTTAATCCTTTATTGGATAAATGTAAGTAGTAGAGGAGTATATACTATATTCGTTAATTTGGGAGATGGTTACTTTGGCTCATTCTTTCCTTTTAAGCTATTCAGTAAGTGATCTGATTTTGAAGTGTCATTTTTTAAACAATTTCTTTTTGGTATAAAGCAATAAAACCAGTAAGTCTGATGTAGAATGTCCTTTTTTTCTTTCTTTCAGCAAAATGGCATGTTTTTGTATTATTTATTTAGTTAAATATGTATATATTGAGCACCTACCATGTGCGGGTACTTTCTAGGCATTGAGAATATAGTATACACAACAACAAACATTTTGGCCTTCATGGAACATACATTCTGGTGGAGGGAGACAGACAATATACACATAAGTAAATTATATAGTGTATTAGAAGGTGATAAATGCTATAGAAAAAGGTAAAACAGGTTAAGAGAAGAAAGAATGACTAATTGGGTATAGGTGAGTAGTGTGGTAGGTGTAATTTAAAATATGGTGGTCAAGGATGGGCTCACTAAAAAAGTGAAATTTGAGGAAGAGATATAAAGGAGGTGAGTCTGAGCCATGCAGATGTCTAGAACAAGATTATTCCAGAGAATACAAGTGCAAATGTCCTGCAGTCAGAATATTCCTGGCATTCAAGGCAAGGGGGCCAGTAGTGTTGGAGTTAGTGGTCCAAGAGGAAGAGCAGAAGGAAAGAATTCAGAG